CCGCCTGGAAGACTGCGTCGCGGCCCGGCCCGGCCCAGCCAATGGGAGCGGCCGCCGAGCTCCGGGCGCGAAGGCTGCTGGGAGCGGAATGCAGAGCAGCCGATGGGCGGGGGAAGGACGGAGAGCAGAAAGTAGAGCAGCCGATGGGCGGGATGCAAGGCGCAATGGCAAACTAGGCAGGGCCGGGAGCGGCAAGCAGAGCAACAGATCAGGCACAGAACAGCAAGCAGAGCTGCTGATGGTGCAAGGGTACAGGGCTGGGAACAGAAAGCAGAGCAGCAGACCAGGCACAAAACAGAAAGCAGAGCAGGAAATAGGACAGGGAGCAGAAAGCAGAGCAGCAGACCAGATGCAGAGCACAGGACCGGGAACAGAAAGCAGAGCAGCCAAACACTTGCCCCCCACACGCGCGCACTACGTTGCGACAGGGTGGTGGGTTGGCCGTCAGCTCCGCGGTGTCAGGGCATTTTTCCCTGGGTAGCAAAACTGGTAGAAGTCCCCATTATAGTAGCGGGGCTTGGCGGAGCCAGCCTCCCGCGCTGCACTGCGGCCGTGGGAGCGGGTTCGTGCCTGGTGGTCGGCCCCCCAAAGATGCGCGAGCCAATGGACAAGACAGGCAGGTGCAGTACCTACGTCAGGGATCCACGAGACCAGCAAAACCAGCAGAGAGCGTGAGGTCTAGGCCCTCCAGCAGCCTAGGGATGAGCCGGGAATGTAACGCAAATACCAGCCCCCGCTGTCCCGGGAGATCACGGCTCTCCTCTGGCCTCCAAAGCTGTGCTGTGGCATGCCAGCACCTGGCTGAAGATGCAGCGGTGAGCTGGAGGGCGGTAGAAGCTGCCTCTGGCAGGATCGCAGCACCTGCAAAAAAAACATTTGGTGCATCTCATGGGATCCGTGCTTTAAGGCACGCTGCACCCTGGGCCTGAAGAGAAGTGGGGGTTCTTTAGCCAAGAATTGGGTAGAGGTTACCTGCTTTCGAGACCCCAGAAGTGCAGACAAAGCAGGGAAATAAATGTCTTTCCAAACCTGTGGTGGGGCACATGCTTCAGCATGAGCACAACTAGCAATGAGCTAGGGAGTTAATTAAACAATTGCAAACATATATTACAAGCCTGAAACTTCCTTAAAACCAGTATTTTTAAATGACTGGTTCTTTCCTTTGAATACACCCCTACCATGGCATAGCATAAAGCAGACAGTCGTTTCATAGTTGTTAGGGGCTGGAAGTGACCCTACAGATCATGGGGACCTTACCAGCCTCCCTGCTCTGGGGCAGGAAAGGCTGCTGGGGTCAGATGACTCCAGCGAGGGCATCAAGACGTTTTTTGAAGATTGCATGTTTCCAACCCAAGCTGCAAACTGAAGTGCAAGTCAACCCCAGAGCAAATACGGGAAGTGCGTCCCAAGCAGAAAAGGAAACCTTGCAGTCACGCGTCGTGGACTTGCCCATTATCAGCAGACCAAATCCTCCTCTGGGCCCACGTGGGGGTGGAGTGTGTTGCATGCTGCTGGCCCTGCGCCGTGCCTGGGGGCTGGCTGAGCTCTCGCCCCACAACTCTGAAGTGGGGCAGCTGAGCAGAGAGATGATGGGAGTTGCCAGGACTGAGTTTGTGTAACCGGAGGTCTGTGAACGATCACTCAAAACGGTCCATCAGATGCATCCCTCTGCAGTCCTGCTCCATCTCCTCCTCATGCTGGGTGTCGTTTGCCTCATTTCCACAGGTGCCGATTTGTAGAACGGGCCCAACCAGCTGTCCAGTCCGTGGCATAGTCTTCATTCTTTTGCTATGTAGGAAGAGCAGCTTCCCACGTGCCATCAGGACCTTCGTCTACAAAATGCGGGGATAGCCTAGTTGGTGTTAGGGTCTTAAGGAATCCTGGCACGACTGTCCAGGGGCAACTATGGCCAAACGGCCCCATAGAGGAGACCAGCCCTCTCAGCATGTTTGAGCTGGGTCTGGTTCCCAGCTCAAACAGCTGGACAGCAACATCCCAGCTTAAACATCTGGACAGCAACCTCCCCCTTCCTGGAGCAGAGAAGTGGCTCCTGCTCTTAAAAGTGTTTGCAAATCATCAGGAGGAGAGAAGATCTGCCCACAGGATGGCAAGCAATTTGAGGGCCATGTGGATCAGAAGCAGGTAGTACCTGGAAGAAGCCAGCTTCTTAAAATGGCAGAGGGAACCTGCTGGGAGAACTGGCAGTTGGTTAGTGGAAGGTGATAACAGGACAAGACCGAAATGCCAGCACGTGTCAAAAGTACTTGCACTGCAAACAGAGTTTTGACTGGTGCCTTCATACTCCATTGAGAATATTGGCATATCAGGACTTTACAGTATGAAGTGAATTGGTTTCAGAGACTGAGGCTGGTGGTTGCTCTTGCATTCAGTGTTCCCCTTAGAGGAAGAGTAATTTCGTCCACAAACTCAGGAAATGCAGGTTCACCTTCTGTCTGTCAGAAACTGACTGCGATAGTGGGTAGGTCACTTAGTCCAGGCTGTAGCTGAGAGCTAAGGTAAAGGAGTGAAAACACTACTCACTGTCAGTGAGTTTTTTGGATCAGGGGCTATTGCTCAATGGAGATACAGAGCATCTGGGCCAGTGGTTCTCAGGCCTTGGCTTTCAAGACAAGAGCATCCACCTCTGCTCCTGGCCCCAGGGAATTCTGCCTTCTCCAGAACTGGTGCTTCCAAGCTTCCCTTTAGAGCCAGCAGAGCAGGAGCATCTTACCTGGTGCATGGGCCAGTGACTGAAGTGAAACAAATAGGACTGGGGTGACTTGGACTGCGCTCCCAATGGCCAGCATCACACCACCCCAAGCAGTGTTACAGTGTGAAAACAGGAAGCTTCACCTGGCAGAGTTCAATTCTCCTTTTCAGCTGCTTGTAGGGGGTAGCTGACTTGGGGACTGTCCCCTCCTACGGTGCTGCCATCATCAACCAGTTCGCCAGCACCGAAGACGTGTGTGTAAACCAAATCTAAATCAATCACATGCAGACACACAAGCACACAAGTATTCCCAGCCACGAGGGTATGGACTCACACCTTCACCTTGAGCTGGGATTATAAAGGGGAGTTAGCTCCGAAGAGAACCAAAAGGTGCCTTGGACTATTGTAAGTCGCATTCATTTTAGCTTTCTTGCATCCATTTTAAAACAAAATGATGCAGCAGCCTCCACCTTCACTGGTGCAACTGGATACCAACTGGATGACTCCTACCCTCCCCAGCTGGTCGGACTCCAGTAATACAGGGGCAGAGGGAGAAGCTGGGAGACACCTTGAGCCATCTCATCCTATTTCCCACAACTGCACGGACATTTAGAGTAGCCCCCAGTGCTTTCTTTAGTGCTTCAAGGCCTTGCTCGCAGACCTGCACTGGCCCAGGTGAGCGACTTGTCCAGGTGCCAACTTTGGTTGAGGCTTAGCTTAAAAAGGGAAACAAGTCTTTTGCAGAATAAAAGCAATTTTCTACCCTCAGCACTTTGTCTGCATCACAAATGCTGTGCTTGCCAAAGGGACCAGAAGGCTTCAGGATCCTGTGAGCAACACGTACAGCTGCTCTCATGAAGACAGTATTGAGATAGAGGGCTGGTGGCTAGGAGAATGCATGAAGCACTTTGCCTTCCATTCAGGAACACCAGTGCAATCTCAGGGCAGCTCCAACCCGTTAGCTCTTCCCACTATTCCCGATCCAGGTAAACCATGTAGATGCAGAATTTAACGCTTAGGGCTTTTTCCTTGAAGAGAGCCCACAGCATGAGCAGCTTGCTCTCGGTATGCAGCGTGTTAGATCACTCCTTTCAATTTATCTGTGGTCGTCACACAAATGGGGAAGAAAAAAAAAAAAAAAAATCAGAAAGGTCCCCCATGTTCATGGACAAGCCTGAGATAAACATCTGAAAGAGAGGATGCAGAAATCAAGTAATTTCACTCCATTCACTGCAGTAAGAAGCCACTCAGTTCCCTCCCCCAGCCCTCCACCTTCATGATGCGGTCTTTGTAAGCTTTTTCTCAAATCAAACAAGCTGAGATGTTGCTGTCCAGATCTGCACGCAAAGCCTGGGTGGGATGTGAAGAGCAATGCGCATGAAGGAGTTCAATACAAACTGCACTTTTTTTTAAAAGTTTAAACACATTTATTTAAAATACAATTTATAAAATGTTTTTCTGCATACTTAGGAGCACTTCCATGGGGAATCGGGCGGCTCTAGCTAGATCCTGTGTGTCGGATGCACACAGCTTTGCACTTCTCACCACCTGTCCTGCCACGTCTGGGGTGTTGCTGCCCCTCCCGCAGGCCCCATGGGCCCTGAGGGACAGGGAGGGAGGACCCATGCAGCCTGTTATACCCGGGGCTGTG